TTGAACAACTATCAGCTTTCATTTGGACCAAAAACATCTTTGTCCATTTGTCAAGGAGTCTGTATCATGAATCAAGTTCACCTGAGTCAGTCTTTCTCTGAGTGATCAGGCTTCACTAAACCTGAATTAATCCTGACAACTGCTCTCCACAGCTGCTCACAGTTTAAAGGGGCATTATGTAGTTTTCAGCGGCCACCAGCGGTGTGGTTCTAAGATTGAAACCAAGTGTGTGTAGACGTGCTCGCTTGAATCATGAGCGAGCATAACCCGAAATACAAAACACTTTCATACAGAAATAAATAACGCAGAAACACCTGCATGCCGACTTTAACAGCTTCAGCAGGCAGTGTGGTTCACGATGCCTCAGCCAGTGCCAAGCTGGGCTCAGACTCCGATGAGCTCAGCATGAGGAAAACAATGGCAAAGAAGACAATGAAATGGTGGTGAAGAATGAGGTATTCATGTATTACTTAATTTTACTGTAAGATGATATTATGTTGGACTGCTAAACTCAAGGTGCATGATTTTTCATTGTATTCCTCCTGAACGTGACTGAAATTTACAATGTTAAATTAATTTTGTGTGTTGGATGGCTGAATCGCCTTGCACTAAAATTGACTTTACTTGAACTGAACAAGCTTTAAGCTTTAATGTATTTGCAGAGATGTTGGACAGATTACCGGTTAAAACTGACCTATTTTATGTTGCTGAATTATCCCTTCCAGTGCATAATTTGTTTCATGTTAGATTTGTTTATTTTCAAGAGAATAATTTGATTGACAATTTGATTTTTTACAAATCGTGATGACAAAATTATTTTTAGAATCATCATAAAAAAATTAGTCATTAGATTAATCGACTAATCGAAAAATATTCGCTAGATTAATTGATTTGAAAATAATCAATATTTGCAGCCCTACATACAGCAAACATCAGACCAACAACCAGACAGATGCTTTACAAACAAAAAGAATCAAGTACAAGTTATACCAAACGCTCGTGCAGACTACATGACTTTCAGCATCGGCCAATGGCCACGTCTTGAAGTCGATACACACTACACGAGCTGTCACCCGACGCTGGTCTCCAAACCACGTTTTATCAAGAAAACACACATGAACAACTCACGGCCCAAAAAGGAGAACAACAAACGCATGTGTGAACATTTTCAGCTGAGGTCTGCGGCTTACTTTGGCCTTCAACTCAACAATCAATCATGATTTCAGTTAGGCTAAATGCTAAAGTAGCAGTTTCTGTTACCTTGTCTGTGGTCCGCTGGCAGAACACCGGCTGCTTTCTGTTCTGGTGTCGTCCTGCTGTTGCAGAGGCGACGGACGGTAACATTACAGAGTTGTTGTTTTCTGTAGTTTGAAATAATCCCATACAGCGTCATCATAATCAGTTACTGAGTTGATAAGCAGCTTTGTGGGGCCGCTTATGCAGATTGTAATTGTTAGGGTTAGTGAAGCGAGATAATGAAAAGATATCCCGGGTATGTTAAGCTCAGAAGTGATGCTCTGTGGTGACAGAGTTATCATCACAGTCATATCCCTCCTTAGCCCGGGAGGGCAGGGTCATCACCATGGAGACAGGCAGGTCATTTCCTGCAGTCAGAGCAGGTTAGAAAGAAATATAGAGAATTTCTCTGTAAGAGACAATTGTCAATCAATCATCACCAGTAATTGATTGTAAGGTCTGTAAATGAGTCACCTGTGTTACCTGTGGCCCTGCGTCGATATAAAGACACCATGAGGACAGTGGAGATGAAGTACGGACAGAACACCACCAGGTGGTAGATCAGTCTGAACACAAGCTGGAGGGGGGCTGAGACAGGGGGTGTTGGAGGAGGCGGGGTTGTCGAGGTGGGCAGAGCTGCGGACGTGGGCAGAGCTGAGGTTGTAGGTTTACCTGTAGAGAGAATCCCACCTGGTCAGATAAATCTCTGGATGAATTAAGTCCTGAAATCAAAGGTAACCTCCTCACCTGTGACAGAGATCCAGCTGGATGGAGACTCTCCATGACCGCTGATGTTACACTTGTAGAGGCCTTCATCAGACTTGTTAACATGGTGGATGGTCATGTGACCTGTAGGCTCAGTCCTGATGAGGGAGCCATCTTTATAGAAACCAGCTGGGAGGTTGGAGGGAGGGGTCTTTGTTTACAGTGCAGAGTGACATCATGTCCCTCCATCACAGGGAGGACAGGACTCTGCAGGATCACTGGTCCACCTCAACCAGAGACAAACTACAGCATTTCATCATTTACACACAGCTTCATCAACACTAACTCCACAGTCTGGTCTGTGTCTGGTGTTATGACAATATAATATTAGTTACATTACTTGCTGTGTCATTGTTCACTCCATTGAATTTACAAATAAAATTCTATTTCGGGATATATGATTTAATCATTTTGCACAGTTCTAGTCTGGACTGTGGTGCTTAAATGCGCTTCTGGCTTTAGTTTATTAGTTTAAAGTTCCGGCATGGTACAAATGTAGTGCGATTGATAACAGTGCCGAGCACGGAACTCGGACATAAATGCCACTGCGCCTACATTTGCGTGTTGCGTTTACGTTTTGCCTGTTCTCTGTTTTTATCCTTATTACTTTTGGATATACCTCAGTTTTGGATTTTGATGACGGCGGCTAACTTTCGCCGACTTGATGGTCTAACGTGAGCTGCAGGTGACTGCGTGACTTTACTCTGAGCTGAGATCAATGACTGAAAAATGCCGCGAGATCAGGCAAAAGTGTGGTTTCAGCTTTGTGCAGCCGGAAACAAGCAACTGCAGACCACTGTTAATGTTGGTGTTGTCTTTGCCTTTGCTACAGCTTTGCTAAATAATTATTACTTTAGGGAAATAAATAATCTGAGCAGCAACAAGGATTCTACTGCAGAACTAATAAACATGTACATTACACGAACATTTGAACTTAGTGAATGAGCAATACTAAAATCTTCACACATAAGGAGGAGGTGTGGTGAAGGAGGAGGAGGTGTGGACTGAAACTGTCGCTGTCTGCTTTCCTGCTGTCAAACTAATCAATGTGTTAGTTTCAGCTTTAGTTCTCCATCTTTTCTGAGCCTCCAGTCACTCTGACCTGTTCTTGACTCAGTAAACACATCAAAACTAAACATTTTATGAATATTTGGGTAATTTCTTTTCATATGAACTCATTAAGCAAACATGTACTGAAACACATGCACCAAAATGTCCCTTAGCAAGATACTTAATCCCTAGTAGCTCCAGAGGTGGACAAACCTCAGACTCATAGCAATTGTAAATTGCTTTGGATCAAAGTGCCAGCTAAATAAGGTAATGTGAATGTATAGGATTTTAAGGCCTCTTTAGGCTCATCCCTTGGCTACTCTTGATGCTAATCCCAGTGTTGGTTAGCTTCTTGAGGTATAGTTGTTCTTTTTTTCTCTTGAAAGTTAAAGCTTTGACTTCAATTTTAGTAATAGCCAAAGTGAAAAGGTGGATAACAAAGGCTGGCTCATTAGTCAATTAATGCAGACTGATATACCAGTGACCCAGTGATGTTGATGGTGTTACTGGTGCTCCCTCTTGGACTCACCCAGTAAACTCCACTGTCCAATGTAGTAACGTAGCTGTGTTACAGGAAGAACCAGCTGATCTTCCCCAGTCAGCTTCACAGTGAGTCCTGGTTTCTCTGGTCGTGTTCCTCTCAGGTCCATCCAGCAGAGCTGTCGTCCTCCTCACAGCTCAGAGAGACAGACTT